TTGATCTCATCGTTTGGGTCGATACAGATCCTGCAGAGACAGAAACTCTTTAACAACCCTGCCAGCTGGATAAAGAGCTCTGATACCTGAGAGGGTTTGATGGAGCTCACCTGAACGTGAGCGAGCCCGAGGAGAAGTCGGCCCACACCTGGAGCATCAACGCCTTCGAGCCCATCGACAGGATGTGAACGAGACCCTCGTCTGAGTTTCCATCCTGAGAGGAGGCGTGATGAGACTCTGCTGCAGGGAGCTTACTCTCCTCTACAAAACAAACAACAACAACAACAACATGTGAGAGGAGGCGTGATGAGACTCTGCTGCAGGGAGCTTACTCTCCTCTACAAAACAAACAACAATAACAACAACAACAACATGTGAGAGGAGGCGTGATGAGACTCTGCTGCAGGGAGCTTACTCTCCTCTACAAAACAAACAACAATAACAACAACATGTGAGAGGAGGCGTGATGAGACTCTGCTGCAGGGAGCTTACTCTCCTCTACAAAACAAACAACAACAACAACAACAACATGTGAGAGGAGGCGTGATGAGACTCTGCTGCAGGGAGCTTACTCTCCTCTACAAAACAAACAACAATAACAACAACAACAACATGTGAGAGGAGGCGTGATGAGACTCTGCTGCAGGGAGCTTACTCTCCTCTACAAAACAAACAACAATAACAACAACATGTGAGAGGAGGCGTGATGAGACTCTGCTGCAGGGAGCTTACTCTCCTCTACAAAACAAACAACAACAACAACAACAACATGTGAGAGGAGGCGTGATGAGACTCTGCTGCAGGGAGCTTACTCTCCTCTACAAAACAAACAAACAATAACAACAACATGTGAGAGGAGGCGTGATGAGACTCTGCTGCAGGGAGCTTACTCTCCTCTACAAAATAAACAACAACAACAACAACAACAACAACATGTGAGAGGAGGCGTGATGAGACTCTGCTGCAGGGAGCTTACTCTCCTCTACAAAACAAACAACAATAACAACACCAACAACATGTGAGAGGAGGCGTGATGAGACTCTGCTGCAGGGAGCTTACTCTCCTCTACAAAACAAACAAACAACAACAACAACAACAACAACATGTGAGAGGAGGCGTGATGAGACTCTGCTGCAGGGAGCTTACTCTCCTCTACAAAAACAAACAACAACAACAACAACAACAACAACAACATGTGAGAGGAGGCGTGATGAGACTCTGCTGCAGGGAGCTTACTCTCCTCTACAAAACAAACAACAATAACAACAACAACAACATGTGAGAGGAGGCGTGCTGAGACTCTGCTGCAGGGAGCTTACTCTCCTCTACAAAACAAACAAACAACACAACAACAACAACATGTGAGAGGAGGCGTGATGAGACTCTGCTGCAGGGAGCTTACTGTCCTCTACAAAACAAACAACAACAACAACAACATGTGAGAGGAGGCGTGATGAGACTCTGCTGCAGGGAGCTTACTCTCCTCTACAAAAACACAACAACAACAAAACAACAACACAACATGTGAGAGGAGGCGTGATGAGACTCTGCTGCAGGGAGCTTACTCTCCTCTAACAAAACAAACACAACAACAACAACATGTGAGAGGAGGCGTGATGAGACTCTGCTGCAGGGAGCTTACTCTCCTCTACAAAACAAACAACAACAACAACAACATGTGAGAGGAGGCGTGATGAGACTCTGCTGCAGGGAGCTTACTCTCCTCTACAAAACAAACAACAATAACAACAACAACAACATGTGAGAGGAGGCGTGATGAGACTCTGCTGCAGGGAGCTTACTCTCCTCTACAAAACAAACAACAACAACAACACCATGTGAGAGGAGGCGTGATGAGACTCTGCTGCAGGGAGAGTCTTTAACTTCCATCCAGTCTTTAACCTCCATCTTTAACCTCCATCTTTAACTTCCATCTTTAACTTCCATCTTTAACTTCCATCTTTAACTTCCATCTTTACCCTCCATCTTTAACTTCCATCTTTAACTTCCATCTTTAACTTCCATCTTTACCCTCCATCTTTAACTTCCATCTTTACCCTCCATCTTTAACTTCCATCTTTAACTTCCATCTTTAACCTCCATCTTTAACTTCCATCTTTAACTTCCATCTTTAACTTCCATCTTTAACTCCATCTTTACCTCCATCTTTAACTTCCATCTTTACCCTCCATCTTTAACTTCCATCTTTACCCTCCATCTTAACCTCCATCTTTACCCTCCATCTTTAACTTCCATCTTTAACTTCCATCTTTACCCTCCATCTTTAACTTCCACTTTAACTTCCATCTTTAACTTCCATCTTTAACCTCCATCTTTAACTTCCATCTTAACCTCCATCTTTACTCCATCTTTAACCCTCCATCTTTAACTCCATCTTTAACCTCCATCTTTAACTCCATCTTTACTCCATCTTTTAACTTCCATCTTTAACTTCCATCTTTACCTCCATCTTTAACTTCCATCTTTAACTCTCCATCTTTAACTTCCATCTTTAACTTCCATCTTTACCCTCCATCTTTACCTCCATCTTTACCCTCCATCTTTACCTCCATCTTTAACTTCCATCTTTAACTTCCATCTTTAACTTCCATCTTTAACCTCCATCTTTAACTTCCATCTTTAACTTCCATCTTTACCTTCCATCTTTAACTTCCATCTTTAACTTCCATCTTTAACTTCCATCTTTAACTTCCATCTTTAACTTCCATCTTTACCCTCCATCTTTACTCCATATTTAACCTCCATCTTTACCCTCCATCTTTAACTCCATCTTTAACTTCCATCTTAACTCCATCTTTAACTTCCATCTTTCTTTAACCCTCCTATTTAACCTCCATCTTTAACTCCATCTTTAACTTCCATCTTTAACCCTCCATCTTTAACTTCCATCTTTACCCTCCATCTTAACTCCATCTTTACCCTCCATCTTTAACTTCCATCTTTAACTTCCATCTTTAACTTCCATCTTTACCCTCCATCTTTACCCTCCATATTTAACCTCCATCTTTACCCTCCATCTTTAACTTCCATCTTTAACTTCCATCTTTAACTTCCATCTTTAACCTCCATCTTTAACTTCCATATTTAACCTCCATCTTTAACCTCCATCTTTAACTTCCATATTTAACTTCCATCTTTACCCTCCATCTTTACCCTCCATCTTTACCCTCCATCTTTAACTTCCATCTTTAACTTCCATCTTTAACTTCCATCTTTAACTTCCATCTTTAACTTCCATCTTTACCCTCCATCTTTAACTTCCATCTTTAACTTCCATCTTTAACTTCCATCTTTAACTTCCATCTTTAACTTCCATCTTTACCCTCCATCTTTAACTTCCATCTTTACCCTCCATCTTTACCCTCCATCTTTAACTTCCATCTTTAACTTCCATCTTTACCCTCCATCTTTAACTTCCATCTTTAACTCCATCTTTACCCTCCATCTTTAACTTCCATCTTTAACTTCCATCTTTACCCTCCATCTTTAACTTCCATATTTAACTTCCATCTTTAACTTCCATCTTTAACCTCCATCTTTAACTTCCATCTTTAACCTCCATCTTTACCCTCCATCTTTAACTTCCATCTTTACCCTCCATCTTTAACTTCCATCTTTAACCTCCATCTTTACCCTCCATCTTTAACTTCCATCTTTAACTCCATCTTTACCTCCATCTTTAACTTCCATCTTTAACTTCCATCTTTACCCCATCTTTAACTTCCATCTTTAACTTCCATCTTTAACTTCCATCTTTAACTTCCATCTTTACCCTCCATCTTTAACTTCCATCTTTACCCTCCATCTTTAACTTCCATCTTTAACTCCATCTTTACCCTCCATCTTTAACTTCCATCTTTAACTTCCATCTTTACCCTCCATCTTTAACTTCCATCTTTAACTTCCATCTTTACCTTCCATCTTTAACTTCCATCTTTAACCTCCATCTTTAACTTCCATCTTTACTCCATCTTTACCCTCCATCTTTAACTTCCATCTTTAACTTCCATCTTTACCCTCCATCTTTAACTCCATCTTTAACTTCCATCTTTAACCTCCATCTTTAACTCCATCTTTAACCTCCATCTTTAACCTCCATCTTTAACTTCCATCTTTAACTTCCATCTTTACCCTCCATCTTTAACTTCCATCTTTAACTTCCATCTTTACCCTCCATCTTTACCCTCCATCTTTAACTTCCATCTTTACCTTCCATCTTTAACTCCATCTTTAACCTCCATCTTTAACTTCCATCTTTAACTTCCATCTTTACCCTCCATCTTTAACCTCCATCTTTAACTTCCATCTTTACCCTCCATCTTTAACCTCCATCTTAACTCCATCTTTAACCTCCATCTTTACCCTCCATCTTTAACTTCCATCTTTAACCTCCATCTTTAACTTCCATCTTTAACTTCCATCTTTAACCTCCATCTTTAACTCCATCTTTAACTTCCATCTTTACCCTCCATCTTTAACCTCCATCTTTAACTTCCATCTTTAACCTCCATCTTTAACCTCCATCTTTAACTTCCATCTTTACCTTCCATCTTTAACTTCCATCTTTAACCTCCATCTTTAACTTCCATCTTTAACTTCCATCTTTACCCTCCATCTTTAACCTCCATCTTTAACTTCCATCTTTACCCTCCATCTTTAACCTCCATCTTTACTTCCATCTTTAACTCCATCTTTACCCTCCATCTTTAACCTCCATTAACTTCCATCTTTACCCTCCATCTTTAACCTCCATCTTTACCCTCCATCTTTAACTTCCATCTAACCTCCATCTTTAACTTCCATCTTTAACTTCCATCTTTACCCTCCCATCTTTACCCTCCATCTTTAACTCCATCTTTAACTTCCATCTTTACCCTCCATCTTACCTCCATCTTTAACTTCCATCTTTAACTTCCATCTTACCCTCCATCTTTAACCCTCCATCTTTAACTTCCATCTTTACCCTCCATCTTTAACCC